GTTTACCCTGCCACAGGAGCTGCTCACACAGTTCTACTAAGCCGTCATTGAGTCTGTCCTATGCACTTCAATAACTGTCTGGTTTGGTTCAGCTACAAAATCAGACATCAGAAGACTACAGAGAACGGTTCGGACTGCTGAAAGGATTTTTGGTGCCCCCCTGCCTACCCTCCAAGAACTGTATACATGCAGAGTGAGGAAAAGGGCTCAGAAAATCACTCTGGATCCATCACATCCAAGCCATCTCCTTTTTGAACTTTTGCCATCTGGTCGGCATTACAGAGCACAAGCGTAGGAAGTACATCAGATATACGGAAATATCTGTCTACTGTCCTTATCTAGTTTAGTCAGTGTCTTTGATTATAATGGACTCAATTTGTTTTTGATATGACGTGAGGCAACATGCTGCTCACATCCAGTGTAGACAGGGTGTAATGTAAAAACTTCCATGAACAGCACATCTTCTTGAGATCCTCCCCTACATTTTAGTCTTTGTAAAATCTAGTTTAAAAATAGCAGTGAGCTTTTAGGTGTCTGGTATCCTGAATATCTCTCTGACCTGCTCTCTCTCTACTTCATGCCACTGTTCACCACTGCTGGGAGGCTACTGAACTGATAAGGTAAAGTAGGTGTTTAAGTGTTGTTGTGGAGGCGGTCCAATGCAATTGACTGTCACACTGTGATGCCACAAAGTGTAGGAAGTGGAGCAGCTTGATGAACATGAACAATCATTTTGAACTCTGTATGAATGTTTTTCTCCCCTTTTTTCCAGGAAGGAATTCAACAGTCACACAGTTTAGCTTAATACTGACTATTTGCGTGATGGATGTCACAAATGAATAGCATCAGTCTTGGTCTGAACATGTGAAAAATGAACCAGATTTAACCAGAAAGTATCATTAAGTTTGCATTTAGGATGATCTGTTCATAAAGTAGAATACAAATATAGATATAAGGACCATGGTACAGCTAGGTAAAAGAGATGAATGATGAAGGGCTGCATGTATACTGAATATCCCCTTGCTGTGTCTTATGAATAGTCATCATTTTCCATCTTCATTGGTCTTTTCTTTCTGCCGTATCTACATAAAGCTGGTACTGATTAAATAAAGCTCATATTAACTTCCAGGGTTAGTTCAGTTGATTACTGTAAATGTGTTTTATGTATGTCTGTGTGTGGAGGTAAATGAAAGTTTGGAGATTAAGTATAGCGAGAGGTCAGTGCTAAGAGGTCAAGCCTGGTTTGAGTAATCACGAATCAGTACGTATAAATGGATTTGGGCGAAATCAAATGAGGCAGAAATTGAAAGTAGTGTCTGTGTATGTTTTCTTTCCTTAAGGTTTTGTATGCAGAAGAGTGCAAAGCTGGTGCCAGGAGTGACCTTGGACCTAATTGAGAAGTAGGTGTTTGTTTGTTTTTATTTCCTTCCCTTACTCGCCTTCATTTGGTTGTCTGTCCCTTGTGGTCTTTTCATCTCTCCTGTTTGTCTCTGTTTTCTTTTTATATCGTTTGTTCTATAGAAATAGCAGAGAAACCTGGAAAAGCCATGTAAATTAATCAAATCTTTAAAAGTCATAGAAATGTCTATAGTGAATGAGTTTTTCTACTTAGACTTAAGTCACGTATTTCTCCACTAGAAACTGCTCTTTGTGAGAGCAGTTTCAATGAATTTTCTGTAAAATTATCCAGAATATCTGGAAAAAGTAATGGAAGTCCTGTAATTATTGGAGTTATTATTATGCATTTTTATTTAATTGTATGTATTTCTGTTGCTATCTTTTGAACTCCCAGTTAAATGCCCAAGTTGTGCTAAAACAATTAGATTTATGCTTGTTTTAATCCTAATCTGTTTGGAGTTTCATGCCTTAGAACGGCCCACTTTAGTTCACAACTGACTATATTAAAATAATGTAATTAAAACCTCAGTATATAAGTCTACAATAATGCACTGTTCTCTACAGCCTTGTAATTCATTGTATTTTAGAGCTTTCTTTTTTCATACTGGCCTTTTCAGTGCCACCTTTGCGCTTTCTATTATCCATTGTTTTTATCTCTTATCTCCAACAACTGATTTTTTTTTTTTTTTTTTTTTTCTGCTGTCTGGGGAGTCAAAAGATAATTATGTCATCATTAACCTGCAGGCTGGTGGGGCTGTGAGAAAATAATAAATAAAAAGAGTGGGGCTGCAGTAAAATAATAAATAAAAAGTGTGGGCTGCTGTGAGTGCAGGCAGCCTAGGCACAGCATCCATATTTCAACCCAGTGGCATGACAACACTGGCCCTCGCGGCCACAAAAAAGACAGACCGGCCCACCGGGAATTCTCCAGGTGCTCCCGATTAGCCAATCTTGGCCTAGTTCTGTGGATTCCAGCTGCAATAACTTTACAGTGATCTTAAAAAAATAAATAAATAAATAAACCAATTAGTGTGAATTATGGATTATCTGTATCTACTTTGATGCTTTCTGACAGCATGATTATTTTCATAGGGATTCATTTGGAACAATTTTAATAATTATTCAAACTATTTAGAAATCTGTTTAAAAATTCTATTTAGATTTTTTTTTTTAAATCACTAAAGAAAGTTAAGTGGTTCTAAACAGAACTTTTTCAGTGACCTGAAGTTGGCCTTTGCAACCTTTAAGTTCATCTTTGCACTTTCTCCTGTGTAAGAACTGTGGAGCCCCTGAGGCATGATGGGGTTGAATGGAGGAAAAGAGGCAGTTCTTTGAGCTTTGTGCAGATCATGATTTCATGAGATCATGACAGCTCTAACCCCTCTGTTTCCTCTTTCTCAATTCCATCTGCAACCTTAAAGGGGTAGTTCACTGTTTTTATTTTCTAGGCTTGATTGTGTTTATGGGGTGCAGTCTAACATGTTAATGCTTCGTTTAAAAAAAAAA